GTATTTATTTGTTCTTTAAAGGGGAAGGACAGTAAGGAAAAAAAAAAAAAAACCTCATGGCAGAAATCAGAAATCACAAGGCGAATTCATCATTTGTCCAAATGACACTCAGCTGCTAAGAGAAGTCATACTTTTAGAGGGCTCTTGAAGAGGGAGCAAATCAGGATGTTTCCAGGACATGATTGTGGGAGAGTCAGACATAGGCTAGTCCCAAAAGTCACTTAATTGTCCATGTGCCCTGAACCCATGACTTCAATTCTCAGCAGCTTCATCCTTCATGGCACCAAACTTTCATGTTAGGGATGCAAAGATACGCTTATAAGAATCGTGCGTTTGTCCTTACTCAAAATTTGGGGGACTGGCTGAAAAACAAAACAAAACAAAACAAGGAGACCTTCTCCCTAAGTGAAAGGGAGTCCATGTCAACTGTCAATTAAATCAACATATATGTAAAAGAGGTATAGCACAGCAGTGTATCAACGTCAAACGTCTGAAAAGAGATTAAATTGTAAAAGAACCAAATGGCTTGTACTTCCTTAAAGAAAAGACTATGAGTGCATCAATTATCTCTTTATGCAGAGGGATTTATGTATCTTTTGCCGTGGTTGGTTTAGCAGTAAATTACAGATAATGTGGGGCTGGAATGAGACTCTACAAGTACACCGTGTCAAGTAGGGCGAAATGAGTAAGTTGAGGAATGGGTCTAAGTGGGAAACCCTGTGATAATGTTGATGCTTGTCAAGGGCTGTACGCGCAGAGCAGGGCACCGGCCTCACTGTGGAGCTCATCAGAGAGCCCTCCGATTGAAGATTTCTTGGTTTCCATCTTGTGTTTCTGTCATGTGGAGGAGTTGGGGTAAAAGCCAAATCCTTTCTTATGACTCAGCTTTGCCATTTTTTAAAGACACCATCCTACTTGGTGACAAAGGGGGTTAAAAGAACGTACTTCAGTTTTTCAATATATATATGTATTTTTAAAGAGAGGACTGAGTGACGAGGTAAATGAAGTTTGCTTTTCCTTGGATAGAGACCCTTTCTCCCATCCTTATCTCCTTTTGACTGTTGCACAATAGCTTAGTCCGAGGAGAGGGGAGAAGACAAATGAGTAAAATAATGCCAGAATCAGCTGTTGCCAGGAAAAACACACTCCGATTCAGTTAATTTGTCCTGTTAATGTCAAAGGCTGTGATTCCCAATGAACTAATTTTAAGAAGCTATAACTGAAAATAGCTACATCAGCCCTAAAGTTAGCATTTGACGGAGATTAGGATCTTCAAGTAAGAGAATAGGGCCCCTAAAGACGTGGCGATGTCTGCTTAAGATCATTTTGCTAAACAAGAACACAACTGGCTGGGATTTTCAAACTGGGTTTTAGCCCCTTCAGAGGAGTTGAGGGGGGCAGAAGGGGAGGGGGCACACCAGATATTCTGGCAGTAGAAAATGTTCCACAAATCAAATTTGTGTACACTCAACTTACTAATGACAGAAGCATCCCTACTGGTGAGTCTCTCTGGGCCGGAGATGCTCCCCTAGCTCAGGTGGAAGTAATTAAAACAGGCATGTCGTTTGCAGTATTTCCAGCTTCCGCACGGAAAGCCTCCGTGTGCACAAACCAGAACAGCTCGAGCAGCTGAGGAAAGCAGGGCCAAAAATGATTCCACCCGCCTCTCTCCTTCCTCTTCCTTTACGTTGGAATGGAAAGATAGAATAATTAAAAAAAAAAAAAAGGCAGCAGAACACTCGTGGTTTCTGTCCAACTGCAAGTGCTTTCATTATCTTGGAATAGGGTGAAAATAAAAGTATATATGCTCTTAAAAGGCAAAATCATAACTTGCTAATGAAGTCGCAAATTATCCAGAAGAAAACTATGCACAGGCATATGCCGAATGGCAGAATCTTTTGCCTCTAAAAGTTCAGTTATTGCCTTTGTAATATTAAAGCCCAACAGGGAGCCGGCGGGACACAGCTTGTACTGTCTTGTCACGTTATGAGTTTCTGGTTTCAGATAAAAGACAAGAAAGGGCCCTTTAGAAAGTAAAGAGCTAGGGAAAAAAAAATCAAACTTCCTTCTTGGAAAGCTAAGGGTTGTTTTCCTGGAGATGATGGATAATGGCATTTCAATTTTTTTTTCTTAGTTTTTAATAGAGAAAATGGAGGCAAATCATAGAGGGAAAAGAGAATATATAAATAAACAGAACAAGGTGAACTTTCAGCAAGAGCTTCCTCAACTTTTTTCTTTCTTTTTCCATCTTTGTCGTCTCTCTTTCTTTCCTTTTTTTTTTTTTTTTTGAAATCTTAAACCCCATTTCTGGCTTGCATTTGGTAGGATTCCTGCTCTGGCTTTTATTAAAAACAGACTTTATGTGGTCAGAATTCTTCATCTAAAGCTAAACTTTAATAGGCATAAGGATCCTGACAGAGTCTTTCTTGCTCCCTCTCAGGTGACCCCCCCGCTACTCCCCAGGGGGGTTTCTCTCCCGTTGTGCTGAACTGGCGCTTAAACTTGAAGGCTCAGCACAAAACCCAACTTTCCTCTTTTACTCTGCACTCTCATTTCTGTTTTACATTTGAGGCTCTTTGCAAGGCCAGGGCAAGTTAGATCTGGCTCCAAGCAGAGAATATTCTAGAAAGTTTGAATAACATAACTGCCGTCCTATAAATTCCCCCAACACAGATGCATTAAACCTGGTGGTTCCCCTTCTCTAGCACGAGCTACCAGTTCCTGCCAGCTACCTTGTGTGCGCAAGCTTGGAAATACCAAGGGCAACTCCGTCCCACTTAACAAATCAATTTAGCGTTCAGCAGTATCTCTGAAGGGTATTGGCTGGCCAGCTTATCTGAAACAAAGAGGTAAAAAAAAGACAAGCAAGCAAACAAAGACATGCACGTTCATTCCTGAGGAAAGGCAACGTCAGGCTGCTCTGGCTCCTTCTTATAGCGAAACAGACATAATCACCGACTCTCTATGGGACTCCTGTCTTCCCACCCTCAATACCCTTGCCCAGTGGCCTCCACACCTTCCTGGCACAATGGCAGACACTTTCCCAGTCAGTCTGAGGTTTCCGAAAACAGTAATTTAATCTGACTTGCAGTGAGGCTCAACACTGATATTTTTTATTTATTTTTTACACGGAAGGGAAAATCTTTGAAATTCTGTAGCGCAGCAGTTCTCAAGGGGAGGCGGAATTTTACACCCCCCTCTCTACCTCCCCAAACACACTGGCAATGCTGACATTGTTATAGTCGCAACTGGGGGAGTACAACTGACATCCGCTGGGTAGAGGCTCTGATACTGCAAAACATGCTAAAATGCACAGGACAGCCCCCCACCCCCACCCTAAGGAAAATGCCAGTAGTTCCGAGGTTGAGAAACCCTGGTATTGTGGTCAGGATACTGGTCTCTGGAGTCGGACTGCTTGGGATTAAAGCCCAGCTCCATTAGGGTCTGGTTGAGCAGCCTTGGGCAAGCTCTTTAGAACTCTGTGCCTCATCTGTAAAATGGATAATAACCTATCCTTTAGGGTTGCAATGAGCAGTAAACAAAAATGTACCTGCAAAGCACTTAGGACAGTGCCTCGCATACACTGGGAGCGCAATAAATATTAGCTATTGCTTTTATTATTATTACTATAAATTTAGCTGAGTTCCAAATAAATTATAAACCGGACGTATTTTTGAGGAAAAAAAATAGGTTTGAGAGTACACATATCCTTTCTGATTGGGACCAAAGTGATGATAACCCTAACAACCATGGTGCTTCATAGTTTATCAGGCTCTTCCAAACACCTCCTTTCATGTGACGTGGGCAATGACCTTGCTGAAGTTGTTCCTCTTTCATAGATAGGGCACCCCTAGCTCAGAGTTTAATGAGTTGCATGAGGTCTGTGGCAACCAAGGTCTTCTGATTCCACATCCCCTGATACTCCTGTGACACCAGCCTTCTTTTATGTGTTTAAGATGTCCCTTCTCTTCATTTCACCTAACAGCCTGAGGATCAAAATAAACGTAAGCCCCACAATCAGAGGGTGAGGTGACTGAGGCTTCATGGGTGGGAGGAAGTCACTTCTCTTTTATGGTACGTGCATAGTAAGGTTTTCCTTCATAAAGCATACACATAGTTCAATCCTCTGAATTGAATTAAAAAAAAATTAAATGTCTGTATGAGCTAATGTTCTTTCCTTTTAAAATTTCTGATGTTGAGGAAAAAACCTCTTAATTCCTTCTATTTTCAAAGTCTCTAATTATACACATTGCACATATTTGACCGCAAATGCACAAAGGTGAGAATATAGCTTCAACTGTATACATTTCAAGTTTCATTTACTTATTCACTATTTTGTTTCACAAGCCTGAAAAAAATCTGCTTACACGTGCCAAAATGTACTATTCAAATGTACAATGTTCCAGCTCGTGTATGGTTAGTGACTGCACACAGCAATCATCAAGTGTGTGTGAAAATTTCTATGTGTAGTTTAAAAAAAAACAATTGCAAACTAATCAACACAGTTTTTACTCAGGCTACTTTAAAGTTAATAATATTCGGTCTAAGGGTTATAGTTCAGGGGGCAGATGGATCATATTCCTTGAAGTGAGTGGTTTTCTAGAATTCCTTCAGTCATAGAGAAGGCAAGGCCTTAGTTCCTGATACTCTCCTGACCTACCCAGCGCACAGCTTGCAATAATGCTGCCATAGCCCTTTTTTTCCTTTCAAAGTGCTCTCTGAGTCTACAAACAGCTGCCCAAGCGTCATTCATTTGGACTCAGTTTCTGTGGTCCCATGAAGTGTGTGCCAGTTGCTAAAGGAAAGGTTTGGACCACATATTGGTTTTTAAATGGTGTCACAGTCTCCACCATTTTCCCATGGTAGCCTTCCTGGGTGAAAATCGCAAATGTGTACCATAGTATCTTTGCAATTTCCTTTTCCAAATAAACCCTGTCCTTCATGCTACGAGAAGAGAGCCACAGAGCATGTGCCCACCTCGCGCTGCGCGGGGCACTCACCTTGGGACGCTGGGTGGGGCCCTGGTGGGCCGTGAGGGCACTTGTGGGGGCGCTCCGGACCAGTCGCTGCTGCTGCTGCTGCTACTGCTGCTGCTGCTGCTGCTGGGGAAAGGGGGCAGCGGGCCTGGCCGGAAGGGCACGGGGGGCGCCCCCGAGTGGGGGCCGGGAGAGGGAATGGCTGGCGCAGGCCCTCTACCGGATGCGGGTCGACTGAGGGGACCGCTCAGGGTCAGCCGCCTCTGAGTTGTGGGGCTCGGAGGAGGTGACCTGGGGAGAGAAAAGAGCAGTTTCTGTCTAAATTCATCTTTAAGAATGTATTTTCTAGGTTTGTGAAAATTACACTTCACTGAGTAACTCATATCCATGTTAGAAATGTGCAAAGGTGTGGCGTGCCTGGGTGGCTCAGTTGGTTAAGCCTCTGACTTCAGCTTACATCATGAACTTGTGGTTTATGGGTTTGAGTCCCATATCAGGCTCTGTGCTGACAGCTCCGGGCCTGGAAACTGCTTTGGAATTTGTGTCTCCGTCTCTCTCTGTTCCTCCCCTGCTTGAACTCTGTTTCTCTTTCTCTCAAAAATAAATAAAGACTAAAAAAAAATTTTTAGTAAAAAAAAGAAGTGTAAAAAGGAGGGGTGCCCAGCTGGCTTGGTGGGAGGAATATGCTGCTGCTGATGTCGGGGTCCTGAGCTGGAGCCCCACACTGTGAATAGAGAGTACTTTAAAAAAACTTAAGAAAAGAAAAGGTATAAAAGGGGTAAATGGTGGAAAGGAGGTTCCCCTCCTCCCAATCCTTCACTCTGGGGAGACACCCAATAGCAGTTTCTCGTGTATCTTTTTCAAATACCTTCTATAATACAACACAATAAAACACATGTAGTATGATACAATGTTCTCTCTTCTCTCTCTCTCTCTCTCTAAATTCCTTTTTTTGGTACATATTAGAACCCAACATTCTACAACTTAACTTTTTTTTAAAGCTTCACAGTAATTTGACTATTTTTTTTTCTTAATGTTTAATTTTGTGAGAGAGAGAGACAGACTGTGAGCGGGGGAAGGGCAGAGAGAGAGAGGCAGACACAGAATATAAAGAACACTCCAGGCTCTGAGGTGTCAGCACAGAGTGGACGTGGGGCTCTCAAACTCACATGTGAGATCATGACCTGAGCCAAAGCGGGACACTTAACCGACTGAGCCACCCAGGTGCTCCATAATTTGGCTATCTTTTCATTTCAGTATAGAACTTATTCTTTTTGATGACCATATAATATTTTGTCGTAGGGATGTTTTGTGCTTGTTTTTGAAGGGGTTGGGAAAATCTGATGCCCCTCTTTCACTCCTGAACATACATATCTTTTTTCCTCTTTTTTTTTTTTCTTTAGGTCCATATTGGTTTAGGGAAGCACACTCAGAAAGTGATACCGGACAAGGTCTGCAGGCCTCAGGTGACACGGGGCCATGCCCTACCTGCGGGAGTGCTGTATCCAGGAGTCGTCCACGGGAGGTGGTGCAGGGGTGAAGGTGGTGGCAGTGTTGATGTCACCAATGATCACAAGGGCCTCTTTCAGGGCCTGGTACATTCGAAGCATCTCGTCCCGGCGCTGGGCCTGTTCTGCGGATTCTTCCATGAGAGTATTCTGGTCTTCCGAAGAATATAACTGTGCCAGGAGCTCTGAATTTATGAAATCTTTAACCTGTCGGATCACCACAGAGAAACAAAAATGGGAATGCACGTGTGATCAGATGGCATAAACGGGTTGAGAGCCTGGGGACAAAGTCCACGACAGCCCGCTCTGGGAAAAGGTGCACAATGCATGAGGTACGCAAGATGTTCAGTGTGTATGCGTCTGTTTCCTCCTGTTTCTTCACTGTCCTCCCAGTTCTCAGCACCAGTACAGGAACAGTTTTTCCCTTTCTCACGGCTGTGGGCTAAAGGTAAACCTAGATTAGTTGAAAAGAGGGATATACCCTACCGTCGCCAGAACAGAACCTGTTGGCTAGGTAAGCATTTCCATGAGGTTGTCCGAGGCTGCTTGGCTTAGAGATGAGGCAGGTCCCAGAAGGAAAGAAGCAGTATTTTCAACAGAAAACATTGATGTAAAGAAACCTATGTAATAACCCAACTCATCCATTCCTTGGTATTCCTAGCTTTTACCAAAATCACTGAAATATTATTAAGATCCCAGGTTGCAATGTCATCTCAAGAGGGGAATTAGCACTAATAAGTGAATTCTTATTAAATATAGAACCTTATATCGTTATGCAAGTTGATTTACCAAAAAAAAGTGATATGCTCTCTGTCCTCTAGAGGTTTCCAATAGAAGCTACTTAACAGTAACGAGAACTGACATGTGTTTCCATAGTTAGTAGGTATCGGAAAACAGACTGAAGTGCCAACAATACATATGAGTCTTAGGGGAGTGGCATTTTGTAGCAGAACAAGAATGGAGAGGATGCATATACTGCACGGCACACAGGGAGAGAGTGCTGGCCACCATATTTCATCAAATCTAAGATACCAGTAAATCTGAAAACACATCATAATTTTATGGGCCACAAAGAGAAAACACATTAATTAAACTATGACAGAATGCCAAGATGTCATTGAGTGTGACATGCATCTTCATGTCAGAAATACTAATGTGGGGGCGCCTGGGTGGCTTAGTCGGTTAAGCCTCCGACTTTCGCTTAGGTCATGATCTTGCGGTTCGTGGGTTCGAGCCCCGTGTCGGGCTCTGTGCTGACTGCCAGCTCAGAGCCTGGAGCCTGTTTCAGATTCAGTGTCTCCCTCTCTCTCTGACCCTCCCCTGCTCACGCTGTCTCTCTCTCTCTCTCCTAGAAATAAATAAAAAACGTTTTTTTAAAAAAAAAGAAATACTAATGTGAAACAAGTGAATGTGAGGATCAGTGGAATATGGTGTGTCCCAAGTGCCTTCACAAGTCTTCTAATTTAATTCTCACCACACCCTTATGAAATATATTATAATCTTATTTTTTTAATGTTTATTTATTTTGAGAGAGAGAGAGAGCAAGTGAGCACATGAGAAGGGAGGGGCAGAGAGAGAGAGGGAGAGAGAGAATCCCAAGCAGGCTCTGCACTTGTCAACGCAGAGACCAATGTGGGGCTCCAACCCACCAAACGTGAGATCATGACCTGAGCTGAAATTAAGAGCTGGACGCTCAACCGATTGAGCCACCCAGGGGCCCTTATGATCCCAATTTTACAGATAACACAATTAAAGTTCAGAGTTTAAGTACATTGCCTCAAATCACATAACACTAAGTTGAACCCCCAAATCTTTTGACTCAAGGTCTAGTGCTCCTTCCATTATCCTCTTCCCCACCTTGAATGCTTAGAAAAGCCTGTTTATATTTAAGCATCATTATTTTAGAGTGGCATGGCAAGTATGTTAATTAACTTAAGCCTAAAAAATAAAACAACTTGGATTTTTCAGTTTCTCTGTTAAGTGAGACCAACACTTATCTAGAGTCACTGGATATTTCTAAGAAAGAGCAAAGGCCAGTATATTTAATTATTACAAATTCAGGCAGACAACATAACAACTATCAGATGCTCAGAATTCCTGGGCTGTAGTTAAGTACATAACCAAGAGATAAGAGTCTAAAATACATAGGTTTATTATTTTTAAAGGTATCAAACTATATAGTTCAGAAAATTCAGGTAAATCACAACTTCACTGTGGTGAAATAAAAAGTATTCTCTGCACATATTTTGTAAACCAAGAGTGACTCAAAAGTGGAAGTAATCTAGTACACAAGGTGTGTTTGGGCAATTGTCTAGTAGGGTAGAAGTGTGATAGTTGTGGAAGGTAAATTTGGCCAGGTCACCTAGGGCCAGATGTGACAGCCTTGAATGCCAAGGAAAATGGTTTGAACTTTATCCACTTGGCAATGGGAAGCCATAGAAAACTTGTAAGCAAGTAAGTGAAATGATAAAAGAGAATTTAGGGAAATTAATCTGTGATTGGAAAAGAATTTGCAAGGGTGGTAGTGGAGATAAAGAAATCTGTTAGAAGACTACTAGATCACTTATGAGGTGGTGAAGGTTTAATCTAGCAGGATTGCAGTGGGATAGAAAAAAATGGGCACATGTAAATTACATTATAAAGGAAAAGTCAGCTAGATTGGTGTAGAGGAAAGACAGTGTAAACTTAGCTTAGGGAATATCTCATTCCCCTTTTTGGAGATTTACTCACTTTTCAGCACACTCGCAGGTACCCAAGGAGTCGGGGACATTCGCACAAATCTTCCACGGCTGAGTGTGTGTGTGTGCACTTAGATGGTGTGGCTTGGAACTCAAAACCAGACAATTTTCCTGGCATCAAACAGCAGCTGGGTTCAGCCAATCTGAAGCTTTATATCTAACTGGAGTATCACTTAGAATCTAGTAAACACAATTTAAAAGAAGGTCCTTTCAAGAATAGATTTAAAGCAGGTCTGAAATAAGAAGCGCCTGTCAGACCACGAAATAAAGTAATAAGGGCTTGTTTCAGCATTCTGATCAAAGATCTGCCTTGAACTAGCTCTTCCACATCAAAATGTTACACACTAAAACTCGCCTGCTAACCCAAAGATTTGGCGAGTGCTCTGAATTCATAGGAGTATTATTAGCGTGGGAGAAAATGGCAGGCAGCTCAGTGGTCGAGAGCTCAGGCTGTGGCATCAAACAGCTTTGAATCTGAGTCGCAGCTCCCACACTTACTGTTTTTGGGCAAATAGTAACCTCTGTCAGTCTCAGGTTCCTGATCTGTAAAATGAGGACAATGGTCGTAGCTGCGTCAAGAGCTGTCATGAGGATTATAAACTGCCTCGCAAGATGCCTTACATTTCGTTAGTGCTCAGGACACAAAAGCTATTCTTGCTAAAGCACATAGGCCAACGTAGCATTAGGTATGTAGATGCAGAAGGACAAAGAGCAAGCTATCACAACAGTGCAGACATCAAGTGACATACAGAGTTCAATACGGAGCGAAGGTTAACATTTTATTTTGCACTGAAACAGAATTTTAGAAAGACTCTGCTCATCTGCTAGCCTAGTGTGGTGATGCTACAACTGGAACAAAGGTAGGGGGGACTTCAGGGAGTTTCCAGACACTTCAGGGACTTTCTGAACAGTCTGTGTATCCCTGGTACAAATATGTAAATCAAGGATTCTGCACGACAATGGAGGACAAATAGATCCCTTTGAGATGATGGCATTTAGAATGTACCTCACAGAACATGACAAAAACAAATTATACTTGAATGTAAGGCTTGAAATAAGATTTATGCCTTTAATTATAACACCTTATAACTTCTACATCTTGGTATGGTCCACAAAAAAATCCTCATACACAGAACCTCACTGCAGTTCAGACTCTACACACTAGATAAACAGGCATGGCTGCCATGTCGTTCTACTCAGTGTAAAGGAATGTGAGGTCATTAAAAATGTTCCACATGTTTCCCCTCTTTCTTACTTTAACCCTTCCCTATCAGCCTGTGATAGGTTTGCATCTTAAACCTTTTTTTGTCTTCATAACTAAGACCATTTTGAAGCCTTCACAAGTAGAAGGGACATTCCTAGAATTGTCACACAATTCTGTTACTAAGGAGACCATTTCCTTAAAGTCTCTGTTTCTAGATGGGAGGGCTGCAGTCTGTGACTGCTCACAGTCACATGGAGACGCATGTAAAAAACATAACTGAGAAGTTTAAACTTGCTTAGTTTGGGAAAAGGACTTGGTGAGAAGCTTGTGATTACAGTTCCTTCACGTCTGTTTTAGCTTCTTTTCTGTTTCTCAGGGATTTGGTTCTGCTAGAGACCAATGACGTTTCCCTTCTTTAAAAAAGCGACATCCTTTGAGTCACAAACATAACGTCAAGCAAAAGAATTAGACACCAACAATCACACACTATACGATTCCAAAGTTCAAGAACAGGCAGAACCCAGCTATGCTGTAAAAAACAAGGAGAGTTACTCTTGGCGGGGAGTGATGAGAGTGTGGGAGAGCACGAGGGGGGCTTCTGGATCCTGGTTCCGACCTGTTTCTTGAACAGGATGCTGAATTCTTGACCCATGGAAACAAACCAGTGCCCTGGTATTTAAGGTGTACTTTCGCCTCAAATAATGAACATTTAAAATAACACTCTACTTCATATGCACAAAAGTTACAGTGAGTTCTGAAACTAGGGCACATGTTACTAATTTTCCACCAAAGTGCCAATGGCCAAGGAGAGTGGATGTGGGTCTCCAGGGGTCCAGGCGCAGCACACACTCCAAGTGTGAAACGCCTCTAGGCTTCATATTTGATTCTTAAAAAAGTTTCACAAAAACTTTATGTTCTATTTTGTATTATCTGGGTTTGTTTGAATTTCTAGTTAAGATTTAAAACATTGCTTTTCATATGCAAATGACCTCTAATGTAATCTTTGAGTAAATGAACCCTCTGGGAAGATACACCAGGTATGTGCTATGGGGATAGGAGCCCCCTAGTTTGAGAAGGCTGAGCTGTATTTAGTTTCCCTAACCTTGCCCTATGCATACGGACTCTGAAATGGAGAGAACCTCAGACTGCAAATGTGAGCATCTGGATTTCCATCTTGACTCTGCCAGCCCCAGCTGTGTGACCCTGGGCAAGTCACTTAACCTCTCAGAGCCTCAGTTTCTTCATTTATAAGCTGGGCAAAACAATGGGTACCCAGTGGGTGGCTGTCCTGTGGGTCCCAGCACAGGATCATGAACCACTTTGCCATTCACGCTTTTACAATAAAGCTGGATCACCTTTTGATTTTCTGATGGCAAATCTGGTAGAGTGAGCTGCAAGAGGGAGAGGCCATCACACTGTACTGGCCATGGGGTGTCATGCATATTCCGAACAAAACTCTGCTGCTTCGATGGAGGCTGTCATAAATGTGCTGGTTCTTTGTGCTGCTGTTACCTAGCACAGTTAAGCAATGAAACAGCTGCTGCCCTTCAATAGACAAAGGCTTACAGTATGTCTGAGGCAAGGCATTTATTGCTGGCTTTAAACTTCTTAAATAATTCCATATGGAGACTTGAGTGGCAGAACACTTAATGTAAACTTTCAAAGGAAACTGCCCACCAAATTCTGAACTTTATAAAAGTTGGCTGAAACAGATTCATTTTCGGGAGGCAGAGTCGCCATTCCCATTTCAATGGGAATTTCAAAGAGGAAAGCCACATCATTGCTTTCGACGGTGACTGTCCAACATGCAGAGGACCCCGTTTCAGGCATTTATCGGTTCTAGAGAACCAGGGTCCACCCAAAGCCATTCACAGAGGCAGCAGCGTTACGTGGATGGAATTTAGAATGAGCAGTCAAGGTATTTGTTTTCTAGTTGTGATTCTCCACCTTGAAGACCTCTGCACCTTAAATTGAATAAAGAAATCAACACATGTGCATGACACGGTGCTGGGTGTTCGTCATGTTTCTGGTCCTTGGACTCAACAGAGCACTTCCAGAATGAATACACAGGGCTCAGACATTCTGTACAAAAAGATGCTATGAGAATATGGCATTCAAAAGGAGCAATTTACATTTTTACACATATAGAATAATCAAATATATTTAAAACGGACATATTTTTACATACACAGTTAAAACACAGATAAAATAATACTCAAGGAAGAGTGGTCATCTGAGATATGTAAAACTATTTTCTGACTGATACAAAAAGTTAAATTTCAAACAAAGATAACCATAATTTCGTAAGAATCGGCATCACATGATGTTTCTGTTTTCTCCACATTCCTACTGATCTGCATGTCAAGATCTGACCAAAAGTCTTCGTTTTCATCATTCTGCAAGGTCTCTCCAAGAGCCCTACCTCCATGCGTTATACCCTTGGAGGCGGCATTTAGTCATATCATGAAAGCCAACAAGCACGCCAGGGAGGGATGAAGGCAATTACCCCCATTTTTTTTTTTTTTTAATGTGTATGTGTGTTTTTCTCAAGAAGGTGAAAGTAGCATGGATTTGTGAGAGGGTCGTTTTTTTCTTCTTTTTTCTCCGTTTAACTAATTAGTGTCAGGCTGCTCCTCACAGGCACAGACAGGAAGTGCTATTTCCTGTGCTGATGATTTAATACAGTGCAGAGCAAAATAGTGTTTGAACTGATGGCAGCACTAATGACTCACGATAAAACAGTGAAAAGATAAATGATACTTAATCAGGAAAATGTTTAAATAAGCAAGTGCCTGGATCTACCACGGCAAAACAACCTGAATTCATTTAAGCAACGTTAAGAGGATAATTTTAAAAATACACAGGCTATTTGTTTAGTACTTTGTAGTTTTCAAAATGGCATATAGTTTCATTTATTATGTTTTGTGATAATTCAGTGAGGCAACTCACTGTTCTTAGCATAATTTTAGAAGTGACTGACTTCAACTCAGAGGACCCAAATAATTTGCTTCAGGTCACACAGTAGGCTGTTGACTAAGCTAAAGAATACAATTCATAGTTTGCAAATTTCCAACATCTTGCTCACCTACTGCTGATACTTCAAAGAATCCTACTAACCTTGGTTGAATATGCAAAAATGTGTCTGGGAATGGAGTTAGGTAAAAACTGTGGGTGCTTAGGGTTTCTTCAAGGAAACCTTTATTCGAAGAATGAATAGACCATGAGCAACAACAGAATGTCATATTTACAAATACAATTTCGAAAGAAATCTTGAAAAAGGGATAAAGGCTTTTTATAGTTCTTTTGTAGGCAGCCAGACACATTAGTTTCTTACAAATATACTTTTCATCATGCTTTCATATATGTTATCTTCTGGAACAAATCCCTAACCCAAGTACTTTTTCTAGGATTAGTATTTTACATATGGAAGACCTAGATGCAAAGAAGTTAACTGATTTGTCTCTAGGTCAATAGAGTTTGTAGGAGAGTCAGGCTTAGAATATAGGTTTCTCCTGAATTCTAGTGTGAGGTTCATTTCAGTACCTTTGCCAGCTAAATTTTATTTGTTACAAGCAAATGATCCTAATATATTATTGATTCAAACAAAAAGGTGTCCCTAGAAGATAGCTAGAACTTAAAATGCTGGTATCTCCTTATTAAGAGTCAGAAAAGCCTGTTATAAAACACCCCATCTTATCTAAAAGATAATTTCTCGAATAACTTGGGATATAATTTGTACTTTAATAAAATAGCTACCCAAAGAACCAAACTAGACCATAATTTAAGTATCATATCCTGACTACTATAAAAAATAACCGTGAGAGATTCTATACATTAGAGATCAATTGAGGGCTAGCGTGGCAGGCACTTTAAGATCTGTGGCAATATCATCACTTTAGAAAAGTTGACTGACTTTGAATCCAAGGGATAGGGCAAAAAGCTATTTCCCAGGTTAGAAGATCATTCTATAGCTTTTAGAAGGTGAAAATAACCATGTTAATATATTTTATGCATATGTGTATAGAAAAGAATAAATATCTTTTGCCTTTAATCTCAAGTCTAGGAGCCGGGGCATCTGGTTTTATTGTTGCCTTTGCAATTAACTTATGCCCTGACCACAGCTACAGTATTTTTGCTCTGCTTTATCGTGAGCAAATGCATACTTTTCAGGAGAAAATAGGCAATAGAAAATACGATAGCACTGTGGCTAGAAGTTTCATGTCTGCTTCCCTGAATCCTCTTTCTCTGGTTAGTCACTTGCCACTTGTAATAGGAAATGATGGACCTGGGCAGGAGGTATTTCAACCATCCAGAAAATAGCATCAAGAAGCTGATGAGACTATGAGCAGTTTCCACACTAATATGGGTTGAAATTTAAAACGAGACAGTTTATAGTCACTTACATTGTTGATCATAAGGTGCATTATTGTTTTTGGAATTAGATCTCGGATACATTTGTTGATGATAGACATGTAGGAGTCTACGAGGTTGCGAATGGTCTCCACTTGCCTCTCCAACTGTGGGTCCATGGAAAAGTTTTCTGCCTGGCCATTCTCATCATTTTCAGTCTAACAGAAAGGAAAGAAAACATGGATTGTTTCACATTTGTTCACAAGAAAAAAAGTACCATATATTATCATATGATCTACTTCTGCTGACTATATTTGGAGTTATATTACCAGATGGTAACATCTTTACCTTAAACATATGCATTAATTCTGAAAAGAGATCAGAACCATGAAGTTATTATTCTACTTTTAGTAGCCACAGCCTAGGAAAAGCAACTATCCTAATTCTGAGTGCATATTGAGATGAATAATCAGATAAACAGTGCACCTAACAACATACCTCTAGAGAACAATCTAATCTTAAGCCATTTGCAAGCTGGCCAAAGAACTGAGTCCAAGTGAATGATGCAGATGTAAACCTCTGGGAGGGGTCTCTAGGGATTCAGTAGATTAGAAATAACCTTGGTGTTGTTCTGGAACTCCTAGGTCTGTTCTGGAATGGATCAGCATTTGGATCTTCCAGGTTTTAAAACTAAATCTCCTAAGCCTGGCCTGGAGCCAAAGTAAGAGATATAGAGAATAATTCATTTTTCCATGCACTTGCTGGAATTTGTTCTGTATATTCATGCTTCTGTCATCACTACTAAAGGCTGGCTCCATTGTGGAAAACTTACAATTTTAACTTCCAACTTGTTATTCTTTGAATAAAACAGAACACATCTATACACAAAGAATTTATTTGTGCAACATGAGAGAAGCATCTGTTTTCTATACTATGGGACTTGAGTTAATTAATTTTGGCTTATCCACCAGAGGCTGGGCTGGAATGCCATCTTCATCATTAAGGGCTGACCTATTGGCTTGGCATTGAAATCAATTTAGAACAAATGGTCTCCATTTCAAGTCAGGTTGAACCTTCTAAGCCCCAGAATATGATACAAATATTGTTAGTGGTCTGGCTACTTTCTAACATTTGGAAAGATTTAATTACAAATGTAAAAAACAAGGGGGGTAATTTATTGCTTCCATTGTAGACATGAAGTACTTTTCTTTGGAAATGTACATACTTTGATCTGCCAGGTTTTCAATCCAATCAGTTCTAGGCAAAGCACTGTGAGACATGGCTTAAATGGATCTATTAATGACAAACTTTTCTTATGAACCAATAACCATGTGTGAAAGGCACATTTGCAGACCACAAAGTCAACAATAACAAAGATAGATATTGGTTCTAATAATTTATATAGGGTTCTCTGGCTCAGAAACATCCAGCACTTTTTAAAATCATTAAAATAATGTGCTCACTCTAATACACAACAGTCATTTTTTCCAGTGCTGAGAGTATGACCCCATGCTTCCAGTGATAGTTTGAGGACATTTCTGAGGCATCTTACTGCTACTACAAGAAGGTAGAGGAAGTTTCAAAAAGAACAGTTGTTTTCAATGGTATTTGGTCAATGAAAGAAAGAACTAAATCAAGCCTTATGTAGTTCTTTATTTTTATTATTAACTTGCGATATATAAGCACAATAGGATCTGGGATAAATAGGCAAAAAGCTAAGGCCATAAACTGATAGAGGGCTGATAGAGGGAAGGTCAACCATGTGAGTGAAACAACAGTCATGTTCCCAAACATCTTTCTAAGGGATAAAAACCACTGCAAATGTGCTCCAGGTTGAGCCCAAACTGTAAAGAGTCAGTGGTAACTGCAAAGTCGTGTTAAGGATACTATATGTGAAAGTGAAAACTTTAGGTTCAAATTCAGGCTCTATTGTGTACAGGTCACACTTTGGTTACTTAATGTGATTAAAACCCAACTTCCCTTTCTTTAAAATAGGGATACATGTCCCTGGAAAACTTGTGGAAGCTAAATGAGGGAACACATATGAGATGACCCAACCAAGGGCCTCAATCAATGTCAGCCTCTTTCTTTCCTTTCTCAATATTCATGGGATAGAGTTAGAGAGCTGCTTGACTCTCAACATACATTATGAAAATTCAAGGTGAAAAATTGGAGCATAAAACATTTTCAATTCAAGCAAAATAAAAACGGCAAGTGTATTTTTTTATACCTCCATGTGTTCTGCAAGCTAGTCCCCTCCTCCTGGAACCCCCTCCTCCCACCTGTGAAGAACTTTCATCTTTCAGAGACTTGCTCCATCATCACCTCTTCCGGACAAGCTCCTGATGGTCCCCAGCCCCCCAACACCGCCCCCTCAGTACTTCCTCTGTGTCTTGTATTCACTTTTACTATTTAATATCCAGCCTAGGTTTATGCTTCTCTCCCTCCTGGACTCTGAGGTCTTATTCATCTTTCTCTTCTCAGCACCCGGCACAGAGCCTGATGCATGGGAGGAGGAGTTAACAGCTGCAAAAGGGTTTACCTAAATCGAGGGGGCAGTTCTGATGCATTTCAGGGTATCCAAGTTTGTCTGCCTATGTGTCAGAGGAGCTGAAGACCAGAGAAACCTCAGAGTGAGGAGCTGGGATCCATTACTACTTGGTAACAGTGAGAATGATAAAATGACTATGAAATTGTGTGTATAAATGAGAACAAATGATCAACAGCTTTGTGAGGAAAATACCTTTTATACAAAACAATACAAACCTCCACAAAGCATAAAATACAATTCAGTTTGTCTCTCTGACCTAAAATATACTGAGATTTTGCAATGGTATTTAACAGCCAGAGGTGATGACATTTTAGTCTCAATATTCCACCTCTCCCAAGAACATTTATTGAGCACTTGCTGTGCTGTAGGTACTCTTCTAAGCACTTTACATAGAAAACCCACTCTGCTACCTTAGGAGGGAAGGGCCGTTGTTATTGTAAACCTATAGAAGAGCACATTGAATCTCTGAGAGCTGAAATTTGTTCAGTAAATGTAAGAGGCATTAGATTTTAACAAATTTCTTTTTTTCCCTCAAGTATAAAAAAATCAAGAAGTATTATGAAACAGTGAAACCTCCATAGTACATCACGTTAGTTTCATAGAAAAAATAATAAATGTAAAAAGAGTTTCTAGGAAAAAAAGATGTCATTGAAGTAGTGATATTTATAAAAAAAAAAACAAATGATTGAAACAGAAGAGGGAAGTAGAATAAGCAGTATTTTTAAAAGAGCCTGCAGAAATATAAAACACCAAGAAAGTTACATCATCATCCACTTTTATGTAGAGACACTGAATTTTCCCATTTCACACCTTTTTTTAACATTTAGCCTTACTTTATTTACTCTTTGCACATCAAAATACGCAAAAGACGTTCACTTTCACTTTTTGAAACCAGATGCAATTAATAAGGGAAAGTGTCAGAGTGAATGGAGAACACCGAATAGTTTAATTCTCAACAGGAAAAAAAAAAAACGAGAGAGGGAGAAGTATTCCAGAAAATCTGGAAAACAATTTGAAATTCTCTTTCGCTTTTGGAAAAACATGTGGTCACATGCAAATCTGAACTACTCTGATAATACCATGGACATGATGGGAGTCACAAAACTCACAACGCAAACGGAATTTCTTTCCTGATTTTAGAAAGAAGAAACACTGCTCTTTCCAATACATCTAAAATAAATGGGGGAAATGTGCATAGATGGACTTTTTCTTTTGACTGAGCAATTTCAGAGAGCAAATGCTCCCTCTTCCCTGACCCAGTTCTAATCAAATTCTCTGTTGTGCTCTTTTCTGTATGTATACTGGGTATAACTATGGCTTTTTTCTTTGTTTAAATTATAGGATTGCAATAAGATTCTTTGCAGTCCAAGCACTGAAGTGACAGCTGTTTATCATTATCCTCATCAAGGGAATGTAAAATAAAAATAGTAATTTGTCTCTGATCTTTGAGGCAAAAGAGAATGGTCTGCAAACATTTAACCTTTTACGCGCAGGTTCATTGATGCTGTTTACAAAATGTGAATAATATTGTGAAAACCAGCTTTCTTCTGAAAAATACAATGGAAAGGCCTTCCTAGTGCAACTTTTTTTTAAATAGCTTTTGTGAAATCTAATGCAACTTAAACAATAAAAAATAGCAACTCAGCACTGTAAATTGTTTATAAACAATGCTGTAGTTTTCTTTTTTATGAGATTATTTGCACAGTATTCACAAAAGCAGTCTGTTTTACAACATTTTAATTTAAAAGCTTTTTCCTAATGACTTACTACTTTAACAGGTGAGAGGACCAGAAACAGTTGAATTGGAAATAGTTTCCACCGTACCTTAAAGCAACCATTATAGAAGATCTGGGCTTGATGAGGACTATTTATTTTTCATGTGTTTTGTTTTTGTCTCTTTCCTTTTCTTAAATTTTTTATTGAATTATGTGATAGGTTTCTTGGAAGATCATTGAAACCATCTATATAAGATTATTTTCTTAAGGTGACTGCAACTCTTTAAAGTGGAATGACAGAAACACAAAGTATCCTGGCAAAAATATGTACATAAACATACCAGCTAATTGCTGCATCTCTTCTCACCAGTGGAGAGCATTGTACAACTCTACAGACCTACACAAGTGATTTTTCCAGATAAGCCATGCTTGCTCTTTTCTAAGCATCTTACTTTTGTTGTACAATTCTCTACCACCTTAAACAAACAGTAGAAAATATCATTTAACTTTTTCATAGTGAATCGGGTCATCATTATGAAAATAGTGTTACCATGGTAACGCAGCTTTGAATTTTCCAGCCTCACATCATGAAGAATGCCTTACTGAAAACCTTTCCCCACTTCTAATCATGCACTTCTTCTAATTTGCAGAGGCTAATTAGAGGCTAATTTGCAGAGCCAGGCAACCAAACTTGTAAAAAAAAAAAAAAAAAAGTATGGGAGCAACATGCTTAAGAAAGCCTTTGAGAGTTGTACAGATTGTAGTTTGGTGCTCGGTGGGAGGCATTTCATTAATTAATTCAACAAATATTTGTTTAGTGTCTCAGGTGAACTGTGAGAGATACAAAGGAAGTCTCAGAACACAGGGCATGCTCGTGAGTGTATCATCTGATGGGGAGGATCCAGTGTAAGATGCCTCGATGAGTCAAAGGATGAATTCAAGTGTGGTGGGCTTCATGGGGAGTCCTCGTGGATGGCCACACTAGAGGCAACCCTCAAGTGTTGGGTGAGATTTCGGACTGAGACTGAGGGAGAATGCTCATTGTCCTATCCTTAGTACTTAGCACAGTGCCCTCTGTATAATAGGAGCTTTGTAAATATTGTGGAATTGATGGAGAAAAAACTAACCCAGACTATCTCCTGAGGGATTAGGTTCTGTTGTGAAGGAACTTACGAGACTGAGCTCCAGGTCACTGAGGTGTGGCTGTATGGTAAATGTGAGTAATTGCTTGGATTCCTAAAACTGAGTTCTCCATGTAGAGTTTCTTGGTCTGGGCAGGATAAATAACTGTCTGCATCCAGAATTATTTCAGTTGCTATAAAGCTGTTGATGACTCTGTTGAAGAATGTTTACAGATTGGAGCTGTGATTGTAACCAAATGCTGGCATCCATTTACATCTTCACTCTGTGAGAAATACCCATTAATACAGGGCAAAACACTGAACCTTGGGCACCTGAGTGGCTCAGTCGGTTAAGGGACAGACTTCAGCTCAGGTCATAAAGTCACAGTTTGTGAGTTTGAGCCCTGCATGGGCTCTGCAGGCTGACAGTGCAGAGCTCACTTAGGATCCCCTATCCCTCTCTTTTTGCTCCTCCCCACTCATGCTCACTCTCTCTTTCTCTCCCTCAGAAATAAACATTTAAAAACAAACAAACAAACAAACAAACAAAGAAAAAACAGTGAACCTCATCTGATCCAGTTAGTGGTGATACACTAGCCAGAGCAGATAGGACCTAACTTTGTCTGTTTAGGTTATTTTCATTTTTATTCTTCCTTCCCTCTTCTCCTTTTTACTTCTCCTTTTACTACCTTCTTATTCTCCATACAACTTTTACTCTCCTTCATCTCTACATGGGATCATAATAAATTACAAAACTGTGTAATATTGTGAAATTAAACAGCCATTAAGAAAAAAACCACAGAATTTCAAAGATACTTACTTGATTAACAACAACAATAACCCTATCTTAATTCTGATGTACCTCTATCTTTTTTTCCCTAACTCTCATTTAGCCCAATAGCTGCGAATAGTATATTTCTGTGTGGTACCAGTGTATGTCTGTCTCCAATAAATAACTTGAATGATAACAGCACAGAATAACTGGGATCTGGAGGAATAAGAGAAAGGAAGATTCCTCTTGTATAACTGACAGGTACTGAATCTGCATTAAGATGCATTGAAACAAAAAATCTGCAACTGTAAAAACAAATGTGGATACAACAATTCCTAGAGAAATCTGAAAAACTCTGTCCTGATGTCCTTCTAGAAGTTATAATAATTCCAATCTAGTTTTTAATCTCAAGGCCTGTACTGCCTGCTAACAGATAAATTCAATGAATATAAAATATTCATATATTTTAAACACATTATTACAAATTGCTATTTAAATAATCTTAACTGAGAATTTTTTCTAAATTTATGAATATTTACTTTTTGGAAAATTTCCATCTTTATATATTGAGTTTCACATGACAACCTTTTGTCCGAACAATAAATGGGCTAAGCAGAACAATTAAATGGTTTCTTTAAAAATAACCACTTGCCTCACCACATTTTTTGGTTTAAAATAATATTAGTAATTTTGAAAGGGCCAAAATTATTTTTCAAGCATTGACTATTGGCAAAAATGTTTAAAATTTAACTTTGTTAATTATAATAAAAAGAAAACCCTTTTCCTAAAAAGAACTAGAATTAGAATCAACTGATACATGTGTCCTTTTTAGTGAAAAAAAAAAAATCACAACATTTTTTTTGGACTAGCAAAACAAGCAACAGAATATTTTTGAAGAAAAAATTTTCAGAAAATAGGATCAAATAAAATAAGGGTAAATATAAAAACAATTTGTGATGGTTAATTTTATGTGTCAACTGGACTGGGCCATGGAGTGCCCAGATATTTGGTGCAAACATTGTCCTAGGCATTTCTGTGCTAGTATATTTGGATGAGATAAGTACTTAAATTGGTGAACTTTGAGTAAAGCAGATTGCTGTCCATAATGTGGGTGGGCCTTATCCAATCAGGTGAAGGCTTGAATAGACCGAAAAGATTGGTTCTCCCCAGCAAGAGAGAATTGTCCTTCAGATTGCTTTTGGATTTCATCTGCAAGTGGCTCTTTCTCCTTCTACAGAAGATTGCCTTCAGATTTGAACTGGAATGCCAGCTCTCTTGGGTCTGCAACCTGTCAGCCCAACTGCAGATTTTGGACTTGCTAACCTCCATAATTATGTGAGGCAATTACATATAAAAAAGCATTGTCTATCTATGTATTTATCTACACACACAGACACACACACCCTATTGATTCTGTTTTTCTGGAAAAGCCTGATTAATAAATACACAGACCCTCTATAGATCATAAAGCAGTAAGCAGTTCAATGTTAACATTGCTTAGTGGAGTTCATAGGTGCTGTCAGAGTTCAGAGAAGCAGAGGATCAGGAAGGGTTATGATGGGGAGTAACACTGGTCCTACTCCAATTATTTACCTTTACTTCACAGCATTCTCTAAAGGAAAGAGAGGCGAGTCAAAAAATAATCCATCTTTACCCCCCTCATTCTATCACAACGTCTTTCTCTGCTTCCCCTGTGGGTAGATGGAAGGTACATGTCCATAGTCTCCTCTCCCCCACTCTTAGTCCTGTTGGTTAGATGGAGCTTCAGAGATCAAGCTGAGCCACTCTATCCACCCATCCAGGCTAATCTCTGTGATGACAGAGATGGCATGTGACCACGCAAAGCCAATCACAGCCCATTTGTCAGAACTATTGGGAAGGAGAAGCTTCCTTTCATTTAGGAATGAAAACTTTTTAAGAAGTAGGTCTGATCTGAGTGCAGGCCCACCTCAAAATGAAGGAGAGTCAAACCTTCAAATGAAGTCACCAAAGAGAACTACACAGTTGAGAGATGGGGAGACACAGATATTAGAAGATGTCATTCGCGTGCGTGGATCTGGCCTTGTAGACCTCTCTACCTCTTGCTTGTGCAGTTACACGAGCCAGTAAACTGTGTCCATTATTTTTAAAAGTTGGGTTGGCTTGAATTTAATTTCTGTTGCTGCTATCCTAAAGAGCTCAAATGAATAAATCATTTATTTAGGATGTTCTTTCAACCTAAAACTTTGTTTCCAACTCCCATCTGTTCATCCTTCCTGGTTTGGTGCATTGAGCACATCTTTGAATGCTGCAGCTGAAATACAGCCCTCTTCTTCCTGCATTGGAAGGTTTCCTTTGTCTTGTATCTTAATTAGGTGTATACATGTCCATTTTCCTAACAAAAATGAAAGACTCTTGAGGTAGATAATCCTTCAAAGTCCAGTGCAAATACAATATCATTTGCTTTACATGCAAAAACTTCCTAGTCAAAAACAAAAGAATGCAATGGTTTAAAAACATACAAGGGTAAAACTCTGTGGGTAGAATCATTACTTGTTTCATGAACAGAGAAACAAAATTATAAAGCTTTCAAAGAAGCAGCTATAGTCAAGGGTTTGAAATTTCTCCAAGGTCCTCTGAGCACTGTAGTTGACAAAGCTGTGTTCTGGATTCAACTGCAGAATCTCCTAAAGGCCTCAAGATAACTTTTTCAGTCACCCCTATACATGAATTAGTGAGTACACCTTTGTCAGGCTTTCCAGGGCCCAATGATCCAGATAAAAAATTAAAAAACTGTTTTAGAAAATTTATGATCACTTCTGTTAATAAGAAAGATTAATGTAAAATCAGAACAAATTTGTCAGGTTGTGCTTTTGTAAACCTCTTGTTTCTAATACCCAAAGAGAATATTTCTGGAAATAGCACTGGACCACATCCATCTGGCTCACCAAACAGGCAGCATGTATATGCCCCAGAACTGAAAGTGTACTTCCAAAGCTGCCTGAAATAGAACTTCTGTCTTCATAATACTCATTCCCAATTAAGAGAAAAACTGAAATGTAAAGAAATTTGTTTCACTATAGGCAAACTTTTAGTTTGCAGAAAATAGAAATTCATGAAGATAGTAAGATTAAAATATACTGAAGATGCATTTTGAAAAAAGATTGATAAGACAGAGATATTCAAAAGATTGATAAGACAGAATATCAATATGATTATCAATAACCATTGAGTCTGGAGTTTATTATTTTTTTTACTTCTATCCATCCTTATCCTGAAGTTGTGTGTGTATGTATGTGGTGTGTGTGTGTGTGTGTGTGTGTGTGTGCACGTGCATGTGTGTGTGTATTACCTGTTTAACAATATGGAGGATATAATATATAGAAAACAAAACTTTCTTTGCTTCACCTTAATCGTGGTGCTTGCTTCAAATTATGTCCACTTCTCACAAAGTGGTAAAAATTAACAAAGGCAAGATTGCTTAAAGTTTAGCAACTTATGACAGCATTTATAATAAAAATCAAAACTACTCTAAGGTAAACTTGATAGGTGCAATTATTATTAGAAGAAAATCTGTAGTATTTTAAAATTTATATATGTAAGACTGTACTGAGGTCTCTGTTAATAAAACTTGTAAATATGACTTGAAGTATAAGAAAAAGTTGATGTGGTTTCTTAAGAACTTTCTTTCTCTAGACTTTTTAAAGTAGTTTAGAAGCAGAAGTCAGACTATAACCACTACTAAGCATTGATGAGTTTATAATTTCAAATAATGCTTTTTATGATGAGATCAAGATGTTCCTTTACAGAATAACAAGGTAACTTTAGATTGGATATGTAAATATTGTTAAGAAAACATATTACTGCATGTATTCACAATTTCCCCCAAATTTCTTTTTTCCTAACCATGGCTTCAAAATTCCTAGAAATGTTATTATTAGTGAGGACTATAATATTCTCCCTGGCAATTGTTTATGTCTACTCAATTCATAGAAATTCTTTCAAATTAAAATAGGTATAATGATTTCTGATTTAAAGAGTAAAACCTCTTTGAAATTATCATCATGAAATTTCATACTACACTGGTGGCCAAAGGCATCAAAAAGAGATGTGGCAACATTATCCACCTGATTCAATACAATTTCTAGCAATATTCCAGAATCGTTATAAAATATCTGGGAATATGCATAAAACAGAAAAGGCAGGATACCAATTTTTGGAGGGCTAAAAACTGAATGCACATGGCTTAAGTAGCATCTAAAGATAGCTTTACACAACATCAAAGTGATAAGTGTGATTAAGATTTAAAAGGCGTTAAAATGAGAGAGGGCAAGATGGCGGAGAAGTAAGGAGCTCCGTACTTGCACTCGCGCCCATACATCACACAGAAAAGATCTGAAGCCATTGGAAACCTTACAAAACCTGAGAGACTGGGAGAAAAAAGACGCAGAATCCACTGAGAGAGCCTTCTAATGTGAGTGCGAACCGGGGAAGATAAAATCGGGCCGGGATCGGAGACTCCAGGGTGGGAGGCGATCCCCCTCTACCCTCTACGGGGAGTGAGAGGGGAAAAGGA